TGACAATTGTACAATGATATAATATCAGTATGTTTTAGATATTTGAAAGAAACATAAATAATAATGAAGCTAAAACTATTTCTCATTGTACTGGGATTGCGGTAAACAGGCATAAATGGATTAAGTAGTACGAGTCAGATTTGGTAAGACTTAGCGTATATTTCGATCGCTGGTGTTTTAGCTTCTACGCGCGCACCCATAAATCACAATAAAAGATAATCCTGACAAATACAACGCACTCGTATCTAATGAGAAAAAGAAAACGACAAAAAACGGTTTCCCCAATGAGCTTTCAGCAAATGAAGAAAACTCGAAAGCAGCTCAATAAACAAGAGCTTCCGCGAGCGAGCGCGCGTCGGCGTCGGTGAGCGTTGGGTCGAGGAAGAGAGCAAAACAATTCCCTGAGCGGAAGACTCTAAGTGGGTTAAACGGCACGGAAGGAGGAATCAGCGAGAAGTTAATCCTGCGGGAGATTATCGAGGACATGCATACGGCGCGCGCGAGATTCTTTCACTTCTTCCCCCACCCCCTTCGACAAAGAGGAAAAAAAGAAGCGAGACAACACTTTGTAGTTTTAATCGATCCGGGGGGAAGCAGTCCCCTTTTTTTCAGTCGTAGAAGAAGGCTAAAGAGTGAGTGAGAAAGAGAGAGAGTCAACCTCTGCACGCTCGAACCTGCGAACAATAGCGAGACACGCGACTATACACTTCTCGAGTAGTGTGGGGCGAAAGAGCGCCGCGCAGGCTACTGCTACTGTGCTATACTGGCGTGATTCGCCACGGCTTTTTCGTAGCAAGCACGCAGGTTTGCAATTCTTTGGCTTTTTTTGCCTTCCATTCTCTCTCTCTTTGGCGCGCGCGCTCGAGCGCGATCCAGACGGAGATACAGCGATTCCAAGTTGTAATTGGGTGTGAAACACTTTAGAGCTCCAACAGATTTTTTTATTTATCGTATGCGAAAACATTTTATTTTTTAGTTTACGTCAGTGAGTCATATAATACGTTTAGTAATATGAAACTTGTTAAATACAACATTTTTTTTCTTTATAATTATTTAGTGTGTCAAAAAAAAGTTAAAAATGTTAAAAGTTATCTTGTGGTAGCGAAAATCCTGAAAAATCATAATTATTTTATAATTTAGCATAATTAATAAATGGATGGAGAACAAAAGAGTTAATCGTCGCTAAAATTGACACCAATTGACACTTACTCAGGAGAAAGAGCGAGAGAGAGAGAGAGAGAGAGAGAGATCAAGGCAGGAATGAAAGAGTGAGAGTTCGCGCGTGCCACCGAACTCGCCGCAAAAGCGCACACAGACAAACCACTCAATGAAAAAGAAAGAGCACGGCAAAAACTTGGTCGGCTGCACGCCAGGGCAATACACACGAAGGGGAAAAGGGTTGAGTGAGAGAGCGAGGGAGGGCCGCATACGTATGCAAAGGAAAAAGGAAGAAAGGTGGCAAAATGAAGAAGGGGAGAGAGAGAGAGAACGAACGACGAGGGAGGGAGAAGAGACCCACATCCTACAAGCACAGAGAGCAACCACGTGCGAGACCTTCCAGTAGAGTATATAGAAGGACAAGTTGATTTCATTCACTCGCTCGCTCGCTTGCAGTAGCACGACGAATCTCGTCGCTCTCTCTCTCTCTCTCTCTCTCTCTCTCTCTCTCTCTCTCTCTTCCTGTGTGTAATCAGATCGCAATAGCTTGTTTCCCTTTTGTTTTTTCTTTCCTTTTTTTCTTACTCGTCTATTTCTCGCGATCGTCGTTTGATTTGCTGACTTGTTCCTTTTTTTACGGAACTTGCGTTTTCTATCGGCAGTGCTCTTTTCCGGTCGATTGTTTTGCGCGTTTGAGGGTTAAATCCTGAATGGGAGTACGCTGATCTTCCAATAAATTGATCTAAATTGCGAATCTTTAGGTATCATTTATAAACTTCAGATTCGATACTGTAATAAATTTTCATTCGTTTATCAACCATCGTGTAACTACTTCCTGAAAAAATACAAGATATAGCTGCAGTACTTCAATTAACTTGAGAAATACAATAGGATTTGATTTGAATGACATCTTAGCAAGGGAACAAGGCTTGCCGTCGCGTGTATTCATAAAAATTGTAGCATCAGCGGCTCGCATGCAGCTGATGTTCGGTACAAAATTGCGTGCGTGTTTAACGAGACGCATTTACACGTACTCTTTATATAAATATTAAAAAGAAGTAAATCATTTTTTCCGCGAGCTGCAATGCGATTATTCAGAAAAATGAAAAGCAACATCCTGCCTTCGGACTGATAAGTTTGGCCCCGACCTACAATTAAACTAATTAAGATAGGATCTGCGGTATGGCCGCGATGCTTATCTAAGACGGTTATAATGATAGCTGCGTATAAGCGCGTGCGTTGGCTGAAAATAATGAAATGAAAATGAGAAGAAAGTAATTAAGTAGGAGCTGCTGCGCGCAAAATAATTTATTTGAACGCGCATGCGGATACGCGCGTCACGTGTAAGTCGTAAGGGCGCAAATAGAGGAGACGAGCGAGAGCATCGTCTTTGTCTTTCTGTTGCTATATAGCTCTGAAGGTTCTAATCAGTGGCTAGCTGCTGCTTCTGCGAGTATAGGGGATGGGCCGACGGACGGACGACGTCGCCGATCGATAAGAAGAAGGCTAACGCTGCTGCTGCTTCGAGAAGTAGGGGCTATCCACAAATAGGAACATTGACCCATCATTATCCCTCCGTTTTCTCTCTCGCAGTTTAATTGATTAACAAAGCTCGACTTACGTCTCCCGCTTCGCTCTCTCCCCATAGCCGAAAAGCCGTCTCGGTTAAAGAGGGTTGGAAAAACAATTTCTCGTTTTAATTGCGACTGCACGCTGAGAATACTTCTCTCTCTCTCTCTCTCTCTCTCTCTCTCTCTCTCTCTCTCTCTCTCTCTCTCTCTCTCTCTCTCTCTCTCATTCTGTTGGACTTTTTTTCTGTTTCTTTGCTGTAATTGATTGTCTTTGTTCTTCTTGAATAAAGTCCAACCTTTTTTTGCGACTCCAAGTTTTTTCGGCACTTACTTTTATGCAGCTTTGCTATCGAGCTTCAAACATCATTATGATGATTTGTCGTAGCTTACATAACTACAAAAATTGGTTCAACTCATATAAGCCATTTCCAAATAGCTTTCGTACACGGCACAAACTCTAGTGGAATTCACAATAAAAATGAATGATCTCTCGTGGCTCTCGCGACGATTGACGTTCAAAGTTGAATCCGAAAAACAAACAGAACAAGCAGGCGCTTCAGCGTGGTGCGGCTAATTAGAAGTGCGCACAATCAGGGTGCTTCCGTAAATCGAGCCGTTACTCAAAATGTCGCGGGCAGTCGGTAATCAACGCGCGTTCGCGCGTCGGACGGAGAGACAGTGCGGCCCTGGCGCCGGCGAGTGCAAGGGTCGAGTTATACAGAGAGAGAGAGAGAGAGAGAGAGAGAGAGAGAGAGAGAGAGAGAGAGAGAGAGAGAGAGAGAGAGAGAGAGAGAGAGAGAGAGAGAGAGAGAGCAAGGGTTTTCGGAGAAAATCGAGGGGAGAAGCATTAAAACACCGAGGGTGCCGCGACCAAACAGTGGCGTCTCTATCAAGGGACGCGTTGGTACACTTGGTGAGATGTCGCAACTATATACACGCACAGCGCAGAGAATATACCTCCTTTTATCACGATAGCGCTCTCAAAACAAATGACTCTTTCATTGCCGCAGCGACCCTGAGGAATCTCGGCAAGCTTTATTCGCCATTGACAATTGACGTTTGAGTCTGCGTTTCTCTGACTCTTTTGTGTAATAGCTCTTTCGAGACGTTCAGCGCCGTAAATTTGTCGTCGTAAATGACAATGAAACGTTTTAAATTGATTGACGTGCGTATGAAAAACCCAGTTACTACATAAGTGTCTCTACACGCATTGGATTTCAAGTAAAAAAGGATAAATCGATCGGGCAATTGAGCTCATTCAAGCTTACAAATAGTCCACATCATTTTTATCATTACTGCGGCTGCGACACGGTTATATAAGCTATACAAAGTTAACAAGTTGTGGCTCTGGCGAGCTTTTCTTCAATCGAGAAACATTAGTATTAAATGGAAGCTCGCAAATCGTTCACAAGCAATCTCTCTGCTCGCTAATAAAAGCATCTCGAAAACACCCGAGCGCGCGTTTTTCCTCATTCAAATTTCACGCGCGCAAGAGAGCTTTCCGTCATAATTCTTAGCAGCGCCTCTCCCGACAAAGACAGCTCAATCCTCGTCTAACACGCGCGCACGCTTTGCGCTCTTCCTTCACGTCCATATTCTCCCTCGAGTCAACTATAAAATCTGCCTCTTGCATCTATTCTTCTTTTGTATAGATACTTCGCGCGCGCACTGCGCATTTGCATGCCTGTATAACTTCGTCTCGCTCCTTCGTCGTTCGCCTTGAGATAAACTTCACCGCCTCAGTCGATAAATTCCACTTAAATCTGGCACTGAGCGCGACCGCGACCTCTTCTTCAATGACGAGCAAGAACGAAAAAAAAACAACAATCTAGTACACAATTTTCCAACCGATCATCGTCACTCTGGTGGAATCAGTCTTCAAGATCGAGCAACGCGTTCTCCAAACAAATCATTGGTGCCGTGCACACACTTAACAGCGGATTTATTCGCGGCGGCGACCTACCTCAAAGCCGTTATTGAATGGATGGTGGGGATGTTCTAGGTGCATTACAGACACATCGCTAGATAGCAGTCTCTTAGAGTGAACAGTTCGGACACTCATAACAATCATAACGAACGCAAGCTACGCGAGAGAAAGAGAGAGAGAGAGAGAGAGAGAGTTGCACATCGGTCCACCTCCGAGTTGGTAGAGTCCGCCTCCGTCACGCCTCCACGGGCCCCCACCTCGAATCGACTCGACGGCGGCGGCGCGCCAGCAGCAGCGAGCAAAAGCAAGCGGCAACCCACCGCCACTACGCAGCCAGACTGCGAACCGCGAGGAGCTCCTCCGTATATACAGCATATACGTTTTAAGCGCGCTAGACATTATAGCACACTGCCGACGCCGGTTCCACGTCCTCAAGCCCGTATACGCTAATCAGACATTGCTCTTCGTGGTGATTTCGTGACTTTTGTTTTGTTGAGCGGCACTTGGGAAGAGTGAGAGTGTACTGTGCAGCGAGCCGATAGGTTTTCTTCGAATGTCTTTTGTTTTCGATACGTGTGCCGCGAGACTTGTCGAGCGTGTGCCGTCCGACAAGTGCAGAAACAATCGAGGCCTCGAGCGCACTCTCTAGACACACAAGGTGGTCGTTGGAAAGTGAGAAAAGTGGGAAGTACATGCGGCCGCGCTCTCCCGTACCGCGGAAGAGGAGGAGAAGCGCGTGCGCAGAGAGCATAGTGCACGTGGTTTTGCAGCGGCTAGAGCAGCAGCTCTGGAAAATGACGGGGCGACTTGTGCGCTGATAGCCGGACAAATAGGACAATTGACTTGAGACAGAGAAAGAGAGTATGTAGCAAAAGTATCCGGCAATTGCCAAGACGCGATCCGCAATTAGACGTTTGCAGTGGCTCTTTGTTAGTGTGTACGTGCTGTATTGTGTGTCTCGGTTTAATCGCTCGTAATTAGCCCTCTCCGCGAAGTTATTAAGGAGGCGGCGGCGGAATCGGCTGATGTCATCCGATTAGGCCAACCGACAGAAAAAAAGCTGAAAAGTCGAGTAGCCTGGGGAGCGATTATTTGTCGAGGAGCAGTCGTCGATTTACTACGCCATAACGACGTCGTCCGCGGTACGTCACTCGCGGGTCGTTTCAGGTAAGTGTCATTTTTTATTTTTTCCAAACTCTTTCTACGTGCGAGCTTCTTCTTTGTGACTTATGTGCTGACGGCAAACGCGTTTATTGTAGCCAATAATCTTACGTGATTCATCCGTTTGCCGATGATTTTAAGTCTTTAAAAAAAATTATCTTCGCGTGTGATTGATTCGTACAGCGACACGAATTCCACGCGAATACCCCGATACGTTCGGAAGCGCGGCGAGCAAGTCGGCTGCTGGCGATTGACGTCTTTCGTGCATTTGAGCATCGATTAACATCACAGCCTAGTTCGGACGCGATGCTATGCAAAGCCTGCCCGAGAATGAGATCTGTTTCGCGTGGAATTTCCATCTCGCGATGTATAATTGGATCTTGTAAAATTAGACACTTCCCCACCCCAAGGTAGCAGCAGCTCGTCCTTCTGTATAATTAAAAGCAATCGAATGAGCGACCTGCTTTCCAATCGCTCGCGAGCACTATACACTTAAAATATATAATCATTGTGTTATTGATCGAGATGACCCCGAGACCAGATTTATCGCCTCTCAAACAGTATGAATTGTATCTTCTTGTTTTGATTATTCGCGATAATTGACCTCTACCACTAGAAGGGTGAGCATTAGAAAAAAAAATTTCCATTATCGTACAAACATTATCAGATTGTTTGAACTCGCGACAGATAGCAGATCGCCTGCGCGTATGAGAAAGCTTTTAGCATAGCCAATATATGGCGATTATTTTTTCGGTTTTTTTTTTTTTTTTTTGTTTGTCGCGCCGAGCTGAACGCGCGTATTATGTGCAGCAATACTTTTAATTAAATGTAATGTAAAACCAATGTTCCAATACGCGTGCGACGTCGATGAAGCTTCTCTCTCCTCGCGCCGGCGTAAATTTTTCGCTCCCTTTCCCCGCCGTGCGATGATAATGCATGATTTTAATGTTGACGGGTGCTCCATTGATAGTAATAATAATAATGATACATTGCGCACGAAGATGAACATTTTGTCCGTTTGATTAAAAGCGGATACAATTTCGCGTTGTCTCTCGCGCTCTTTCGTTTGGGGGCACGGGAAGGAAAAAACACATCGACTAATTAAAGTTGGCTAAAGTTAGCTCTAATACGAGAGAGGGGTGGGGAGGGCGCGAAACCACATTTTCCGAGGGACAGAAAGTAAGAGTCGGTTTCCCCCGCGCGTTGGATTTCCAAGAGCAAGACAGAGCCCTGGATATAAGAAGGAAAGAGAGCAAGAGAGAAGGAAGAACAAAACACGGTGGGCGAGGGCAGCGGCGGCGGCGTCGATACGGCGGGGTTGGCCGGTGATTATCGCCGGCTGGCTGCGATTAACTTAATCTCAGTAATTAAGAAAGTTACTTGGTCGTATCCACGCGGGAAAGAACGAGCAGAAGAAAAGAGCGAGAGAGGAGAGAGTGTGATTGAGTCTGTCGGGCGGGTAGGGGTAAGGGGAATTACAGTAGGGGTGGACAGGCGCCGAGAAAGGCAAGCACGAAAAAGAATCCACGGGAGAAGGAAGCATCGAGTGTTCGTCGCGGATCTCCGAGTCGGATTCGGACAATTAATGCACGCGTCCTAATGATAAGTTCACATAGAGCGAATTTTCCGTGGCGAGCCGAGCGAAACGCGCGCGAATAAAGAGAGCGAGAAGCTGAAGAAACCCGACGAAACTGGTTACACTGTGTGCCCAAGTTCCATCGGCTACTTAGCTGCCTGCTAATAATTACCCTGATAATTATACGCCGCCGCGCGCGAGCAGCAGTATCGTTGCTGGCGCACGGTCGAGCGCCCATTTACATACGCACATGCGATATGGCCTGGAAATGCTAATTGAAGGATCGAAACTCTCGGACAGCAGCGGCGCGTAGCAAGTTTCGTCATCGCGCGAAACGCCACGCGGCAATTTTCGTAAATAACGCTTCATAAATCTGCTGTCCGAGGCGTCGCTCACTCGCGCAAAATATCTCAATCAATTCTCATTGTCGCGCTCGCGGAGAATAAAAAAGAAAATACGAGCGATACGTCTCTCTACGCGTCTTGACTTTGGACGCGCAGCACTTTAATTAAGCCCATTTAAGCGATTCTCGGAAGCCGGCGTAGAATACTTAGACGCTCTTAGCGCAATAAAAAGAGCGACAGAGGCAGAGGAACAATATGAGCGCCTAAGATAAATTATTCTAATTCAGATCTGCTCCGGCGCGGAGAGGAGAAAAAAACAAGTGGGCAAAGGTCAATGGAGACAAATGCAACGATAGCGATCGCGATTTCCTCTCTGTCGGCTGAGCAGCCATGTGACTACTCTGCCGCCGAGGTAAACAGGAGCACGTGCTGGCGGCGTGCAGCTCTCACGGGGTGGGGCGCGACGCCGCGGCGCTATACGCAGCAGCGAGGAGGGATGCCAAGAGGTATATAACTTCTTTCGCTCCTGTTTCCTCCTTCCGCGCGACCAAAGGCGGCTGCGATTTTTCTAAGGGTTATACGCGCCAGCGCAGACATGTGCCGATATTGTGTGCGCTTGCTTGCGGTTATCGATTGCGGGGATCGGTTGTCGATTACATCGGGAATTTGTTTGTTTATTTGCCGGTGAGGGCAAGGTGATGTGCAAATATGTCGACAAGAAAAAAAAACGTAAACACGTTGCGGACGAGGGGAGACAAGTTTATGATAACACACAATTGTGGATGTGTTTACGAGATCAAAATTATTGAAATGCTCCAATGTTCTTACGTGTCAAATTCGTTTCTTCATCATTTTAGCGTCTCGCAGAAGGTATAAATTTCACATTGGCTGTTTCTTCTTCGTTCTCGTTAAAGCTGAAAAACGAAGTGTTAGAAATGCAACTCAATTTGACTTACAGTTTTCCTTCTTATAGGTATTGTAATTTTTATGAAAGAGATATTTTTATCTTACAAATAAATGTTTACCTCTCGAATCTATGTGCGAAAGTGTATGGAAATTCATCAACATATCCCTAGAAAAACTAACGAAGAAGTGGAAAAGTCTTGAACTATGACAAACAACGTAAACTTGATCCGCTTATCACTAAGAGTCATTATTTTTTTAACGAAGCATTTCTGCAAAGTATTATTTCTAAATAATGAATTAAGCATTTGATTGCTCATTTCCCCTCTAATGTACTACGAAAATTAAAGCAATTTAATTAAAGCGCAAAAAACTATTTTTCGGAAAAATAAAGTGAATCGGCATACCAAGGAGTACTTGGTCGGCTATGAATACCGTAAACCGTTCTTCCGGGGTAGACACACTCGAGATTAGCGTCGATATACTTGGAGCGCTGAAAAAAGGGACGAGCGCAAGTGAGCAAGGTGGGCAATCGATGAGGGCGAAGTATATAGCGTGAAAAAAGAACGAAGGAGCTCGCGTAAGTACAACGGCAAAGGAAGCACTCGAGCGCGATTGTTGCGGGCGGGCACTACTCCATCGCGGACAAAAGAAAGCTTGCGGCATACGTATACGCTAAGAAGCTTCAATTTGACCTCTTTGGCCGCGTATCATTTTTTTCTTTGTCTTTATTTTTTTTTTTCGTGAAATACGTGATGTGCGACCGCCTCCTTAACCGCATTTTTATCTTACGTGAAAAGACTCAGGATTCTACTCGCTTTCTCTTGTAAAAGTTTGTTTTTTGAACCGAAAAAAAATTGGAAATAGTATACAATAAGTCTTGAGAAATTTCGAAAAAAAAATTGGAAAAATACGAATTTAAACGCGCTTGGTCGGGTCGACCTTGGATGACAGAAAGAAAAAAAAGCTCTGGTGGAATTTGGTGCGAGAGAGGGAATTGTCGAGGTCAAGAAAACGAATCGATGGCTAACTTCCCCTCTTCTCTCTCTCTCTCTCTCTCTCTCTCTCTCTCTCTCTCTCTCTCTCTTACAATCGTCTCTGATACCCAATTCGCCGTGCGCTCTTTCACTTTCATCCGGAGCTTTGGCCTCCCCTTCTCTTTCTCTCTCACTTCTCGCCGCCGCCGCTATCGTAGCTCGTCGACCCTCGTTTGCTACCCCATTCAATTTCACCCCCCGCACGATCCGACGTGCGATAACATTTCCCTCGACAACTCGCCTACTTCCCGAGCGAGAGACGAGTCAAGCTTTGTACTCTTGCCGCGTCTCTTTCGTTTTGTCTTTCTTTCTCTTTTTCTTCCTTTGCTCATCCTATCTTCATTGGCGCTCATTTCCAACCGCGGAAATTTTCCGGACACATGTTAATGCGACGCCTTGTCGCGCCAACTGAGATTTCATTTCATTCGTGCTCGTCTCGTTTTGAGGGAGACAATTTGATTGCTATTGCGGATCTTATTTAGTGGCTCATTTTTATCCATTTCAGCGGTAAATTGAATTTTTCCTTTCTGTCTAATTGAAATGAGACGATGCTAACCAATTAATCAGCAAAGCTTTTAAACTTACAAGTAAATACAGTAACATTCTGTTTATGGCTAAATATTGGCGATGTGAATTGCTATTCAGTTAATACAGGTATTTATCTTTCATAAGCTCGCTAATGAAACTTTTTGCCTCTGACCGTATAGCGAATTATACAAATGTATGGGCAAATGTCCAAGCTGTCGAAACATTTGCATAAAATTATATTTACATGATCAAAAATATCACTTAGTTAATTAGAAAAATAAAATAGTTCATGTTATTTAGTACAAAGTCGTATCAATTGTCAAGCATTGTCCAACAACATTTTCAACATAACTGTTTGCAGCTAATAAAAACATCATGTTCATTCTTGTAAATATTCAGTCAGCACGTCGGATATAAATAGCGGGTAACACACTGAAATACAAAGTAGGTCCGTATGGATGTACAAAGGCAGGTCGGTGCCATGTAGTCGCGAGCGGGGTAATTAGAAATCAACGACTGGGCTGCGCTCTCAGCTGCGCGTCGATCGCGTCTCAGTACTACAATGGACAACGATTACTACGTGCTCTTGCAAAAAAGGAGCGAGCAACTTTTTTATTTTTCCACACCCGTCGCCATTGAATGGTCATAAGCTACTTGCGCGCGTGCGGCATCATTAATTCTAATAATTTATAAAGAGGCACGCACGCGCGCGAGCGCGAGGGGGAGAATCAAAGAAAAGGGTTACATAGCAGAGAAAGGACGACACGTCATCGCACGCGCACGAGTGGCTTCCTCCTCTCTTTCTCTCTTTTTTCATTGTTTCTTTCTCTTTTCTTCATCTCGCGTAGTAGTACGTTGGCGGCCCCTAATGGACCTAATTTGCTTCTGAAAAGCACGGAGATTCGCCGGCTCCTTGTCGCCTTCTCAAGGACTTCCCTCGCGACGAGCAACTTAAAATACCTCGCGAAAATACTTCTCTCCTCTTCGCCGTCAGCGGCGTCGTCGCTTCTAAGCAGAATCTCACTCTTTCGGATTTCTTTTGTAAGCTCGCTGCACATTCGCTCCTTTCTTAATACTCTAAATCCTGTTTAAAAATAATTTTCTCCTCCGGACTCGTTTATATATAAGCTTTTTTAATTAATCAATGTGTGTCAATTTATACGAGGAAAGACCTTTTTTCCGGGATATCGTAATATTTATCGATTATAAGATTATGAGACGTACGTAAAATATTGGACATTTTATTTTTTTTGAAATATTTAATGAAATTATTATTTCATCAAAACTTCTTTTTCAATTAACTTCAGCAAAATTAATTTCAAGCATTCCTCCGATGTTCAATTGCTTTCTTAACGCTTCATTGCGTGCAAAAAGTGCAAATCAAAATAAAAAAAGGGGTTCGATCCCTCGTGCAAGTGAATGCATCCCTATAATATCAGGCACTCGAAAAATATTAATAAATGGCCAGATGCTCGTCTCGCAGCTAGCGTACAGTCCGCCGCAAGTAGATAAAACAATGAAAAGCGTTCGCAGGCCGTTTAATTTGTATAATAAGCGTGCGCGTCGCTCTCGCGACGTGATCGAACAAACAACAACGCCGCGCGTATCGTAGTCCATAAGGCCGTGCGGCAGATGTTAATTCGAACGAGGTTACGCGGTTGCTGCTGCTCAGCATGAGTCTCGCGCTCGCGCGCGAAGTCGAGGTTCGGGTACATAAATACGCCCTTAGCAGGGGGTGGGGGGGGGCAGAGAAAGCCATTATAACTGCGGCGTTCGCTTGGTTAACGTTCTATTTGCGGTAATTCGGGGGTTTGATGCACTTTCCGCTCTTAAACAAAAGCTGTATCGTTTACAAGTCTCACGCATCTCAGTTATGAGTATTTGAAATGTGTGGGCTACTTTTAGCCCGGCTTCGGTTCGGAAAGGCGTTGGCCTCAGGGAAAGAGAGAGAGAGAGAGAGGAACAGCTGAGCGTAGGCATTAAACGGGGTGCGGGAGGCTTAATCCTTACGTTTCGTGACTCGGCACAAAGCGCCGTGGATTTCTGACAGAATGGTATCGCACGTAACGACTATTAGCTTCGCACTTGCAGCACACGTACAACACGCAACGCTTTCGTATATGTAATATTTTGCTCGTGGGCAGCGTGATATAATGAATACGTATAGGTATATTGTATATAATAAAACGTATCGGTTTGCCTCTCGGTGAAGCGCGTAATGCCTCCTCCTCGGGCTCGCCGCTGCGACAAAAGCGGCGAGAGCATTAAATTCGCTCAATTGATTGCGGCATAGCGCTCGCTGAAAAGAACGGAGAGACTTACAATGTCCCGATGGGCGGTTGCCAACTGTTCCTGCCATGCTGAGATTGCCACTCTTTTCCTTCTCTCTCTTTCTCTCTCTCTTTCGTGTTTGCTTTGCATTAGCTGCATGATCTCGCCACGCTGCGATTAAGCAAATTCAATGAGACTACTTGTGCTACTGCTCGCCGACGAACGATGACGTAAGGAGCATGCGCGGGTCGCGCATTAGTTTTTTTCTTTTTATTTGCTCTCTTTCTCTCTCTCTCTCTCTCTCTCTCTGTCTCTCTCTTTCTCTATACTTTACTTCGGATGGTTGTGGAGGAGTTGTCGACCTTTTGTACTGGGGAATCAATAACGATGTTTCGGTGAGAATGCAAGAGGATGCCCGGTCGAACGTGTGCTTCATAATTGACCACGCGTGCTCTTTCTTTCTTTTCACGGTAGATTGAGTCAGTATAAAAAAAGAATTTGATTTTGCGGTAATCAGCATTTCTTGGTACCATTAGTTAATCGTTAACGTGAATCTCGGCAACTGAAACATTGCAATACCTAATAAAGTGATTGGTTCAGATACAATAAACAAAAATTCACGAGAATCGTGAGAAAGAAAAAGCTGGTGCCACGTTCAGCAAACGCGAAAATCATCAAAATCATTTATAATTAATGTCCGATCAATATCGCACGCAGAGCATGAGCTAATAAAACTTGCGAGCGCGCATGTGAGTCATTGCGAGGGGTCGAATGAGTAGAGAGAGACAGACAAGCAGACAGGGGGGGCTATATAATTAAAGCGCTACGCGCGCGCGAAGCATGCTGGCTCGTCCAATTGGACGAATTTTTTTCCCTCGATCAATCAAACACATCTACGCGCTGGGAAAAAAGGAAGAGTCAGACGAAGAAGTAGAAGACGGAGGCTGACTACGGAGCTCGTAAATCGAGGCTGTAAGTCGTATTTAACGCCCGGGCGACTTTGCGTCTCAAAACCTTATCTACTGGCCCCTATAATAAGCCAATGCGACGCAGAAACTATGCGACGGCGCTGCGTGCATTATCGCTCTCTGCGTATATGTGTGTGGCTCATCGCAATTACCAGCTGGTCAACATATAATTATCCACAATGACCATAAAATTACCGGATTTTTACGCGCAACATTCTTAATTACCCTTTGAATTAACATCAATCAACCCCCTTAATTGCACGCTGCTGCTGTTGCTGCCGCCGCTCTCGAGACGGCCGCAGCAAGCTACTCGATGATAATGCAAGAGATCTCTTTCTCTTCGCAAGCCGAGCGAAGTTTATATTACACGTCGAGAGAGAGAGAACGAAGGAGGATAGGCAAAAATCGTGACGCCTCGGTTATTTAAGTTTCGCTACCGCGTCCAGTCTCTGCGATTTATTGTGATTAATTAAATAAAAGAGCTGCCGGGCTTCAGTTAAAGCTATATCTTGAGCCAATGAATGCCGGTTTCCTCTTGCTATATTAATTAACGTCGCGCGGTTATTACCATTCCTCTCCTTTTTGTCTTTTGAATATTTATTCCAAAGGTGTTATTGCTTTGAATAATGTTTCTGCAGTTGTTTGATTAAAAATTACATTTCGTAGACAAAACTGTTTCGCGATAGGAAAGTTTTGCCGAACAGTTAAATATTAGATTCGATGTAACATTCTGGCCAAACAGTTTCGCCCGCAATCAAACTTGAAGCCTTCATTAAGACGATCGTTCTGCACGTCAGCGTCACCATATACTTTCGCTATCATTAAAATCTATGACGAAGGTGACAGCTGAGCGAGCATCTGCTGTGCTGCCGTAACGTGAAGGTGCTAATTTTTTAAATGAACGTTCTCTTGCATCGATGCGATTTTGCATTGCCATACAATTTTCGGTGAGAGAAAGGAAGAGAATCCGATGGGTTATCCTAGACCTAGCCCTCATTAAGTCTTCTACCCTTAAGCCGTCTATTATGACGAGTAGAGAGAGAGAGAGAGAGAGGAGAGAGGGAGAGAGAGAGGAGAGAGAGAGGAGAGAGAGGAGAGAGAGAGAGAGAGAGAGAGAGAGAGAGAGAGAGGAGAGAGAGAGAGAGAGAGAGAGAGAGAGAGAGAGAGAGAGAGAGACAACGGACAGGCGGTGTTTAGGGTGGCACCTTGTATGTTTTGTGCAACCGATGCGAGCGTCGCAATTAATCATCGGCATTTGTCTCGGGGCTTTGTTTCGTTCGTTGCTTACTCTCTCTCTCTCTCTCTCTCTCGGCTAGATAGAGACGGATTAATAATATACGTCGAGGCCCAAACGTTTAGATTTAATTTTTGGTACCTTTATAACTGTTTATTATCGAATTGGTATGTTGAAAATCGATGCGGCAGCGTCCGAGACTACAACATTTTATTGCTATAATGCCTCCCTCTCCTCTCTCTCTCCCTCTGTAAAATTTAAGTGAGTGCGAAGGAGGCCCCTCACGAAGCGTCGCGCGCCTTCGCTAATAGTTTGTTGCGTGGGTTGGCGATAGAATTTTCTGTGTTAATGACACCAAGCCGAGAATAGGCCGCGTGTACAGCTTGTGCCCGCGAGTAAAATCTATAAAATTCGCGCGCGAGCAGCAAAGCAGACGCAGCTGAAAATCTTGAGATTGCGAGATTTATCGTGCGCCTGCATACGCGAGCTTAGGATATTTCGATTGGCCGCCGCTTGGGCAAAGTTTAAAGTGCGATTTTCTGCCCACCCCACCTCGGGCGTCGAAATGCCATCGATAGATACATACGCGAACGAGAAATAAAGTTTACAAAAATAAAATCGGTAATGTCAGTCCCGCAAGGCGTCGTGTTTACACAGTTGGGAGCGCGTCAATTTTGAAGGAGCTTTATAGAGCTGGCAGTCGCTGTGTAGCGCTAATGGCTCGAAGGTATTAATTATTGAGTGGCATCGAAACTAAAGCGAACAAAAGCGAAGGGAAGAAGTGGTTTGTTCGGGCGTGCGCGCGGATAAAAATACGCGGACGAGTAGCGTGAGACGGGAAGACATCGAAATGAGGAGAAAACACCGTGTGGGCCCGCCGGAATGTTAATTTCGTCGCGGTGTAAATCATCTCGCGGGCGAGTGGAGCAAGCAGCCAAAGTGAGATCGTCAAGCCGCCCGAGAGATGCTCGCGCGAAAGTTCGGATACGAAGTTTATACGAGCGTGACTCGCATCTTCGGCCTCCTTCGATTGCACTACTGCCGCCTACTTTTCTATGCCGCGAACGCACTGTTCGTCTTCGATAATTTCCGTTCTCTCGCAATTACTCGTTGCTTCGCCATTCGAATCTTGACCGTAATTTGCAAAATACTGGGCCGCGCGATGTACTCGTACATCGAACGCAGATTCATAAGATCTCTCGCTAAATGTACTTCAGGAGATACGTGTAAATTATTTGGCCGTGAATAGCCAAATCCTAAATATCAGTTAAATATATATAAATGTAGCCGTGAAAATAATTGATAGTCAAATATCAGCGGAACTGAGAGATTTAGTGCTCTCGATCATTCAGTCGGAATTCGCGATCGAAAATAATTAGCTTAAAAAGTATGCACAAAGGAAATGAATACACATAGAAAGAGAAAAAAAGCCTATTAGAAGGGAGAAAGTTCTCCAAATATTAGTACGATGACCTAATGAAATGTTTAGTTAACCGTTCAAAGCAAAGTGCTGCAGTGCTTTCAAATCATGGTCGATCCGAACTCGCAAGAGAGACGAAGAAAGGCAAAGCGCGGAGCGGCGATAAAAGCATATTCCCGTTGAGCAGGACGCACGTCATAGGAATGATCCGTTCAGCAGCAGCAAGCACAGCTCGTCATAGGCGCGCGCGCGCAAGAGAGAGAGAGAACAAACAGTTTAAAAAGTAAAAGCATTGGAGCCGGGCCAGCTCGCGCGAAAATAGAAGCAGATGCTCGAGAGACGCAGCAAGACGCGATGCGATGGAGGAGAAAGAGCAAAGACGATATTATTCGCGAGAGAGAAAGGGGACGTCAGACCGATTCCATTGCCCTTGAATTCTCATACGAGCGCCAGAAGCACTTAGATAAAAATAATTACCCGGATAAACGCCGCCGTCACCGCCGCTCCTTCGCTTTTCTCTCTCTGCCCGTCTCTGTTTGGCTTATATGAGCGAGAAAGCGACTGCCAGTCTATGTGCTCTTTCAATTTGTTTGGAAATTAACGCGAAAAACTTGCGCCTCGTTAGACTAATAGCGCGACGCGACGACCGAGTGTGTGTTCGTTAGAAAGGGATCTATGTGGATTTAAAACTGGAATTTTTTACGAAGGTTACATACTGGCTTTCGAGCTTCAATTGGTCGACTAAATTTAGAGGATACATGTGTGAGCCGCATTATGAGCAAGCTCTTCTTAAGTACACACATGGTAGCCTCGCAAGCCGCGTGAGAGAGCGAAGAAGCCGAGCAGAGTAAAAAGAGCGCCCACGTTTCGGAGTTAATAAATCAAAATAAATTAACGGCCACGATATGTGATGTGATGCGACCGAATTAGAACAATGAAGCGCGACGACGACGACGACGCCGCGTCCTCGTTATGATTAAGAGAAATCGGCGTCAATGAGAAAAGAAAAATGAATTCGTCGCCAGGGGCAGCGAAATTACTTTTTGATTCTCATCGTTACAACGATCGTTTAATTAGGGTTCCTACGCCCGATTTCTCTCCTGTGCCCTCATTTTGTACATACACAGCTTGACTCATCGTTGGATTATTGAGATTTATGAATCAGCTCGTCAAGCGAGGTTCGTCTGCTGCTGTCTAATTTTCGTAATCGTTCGATTGCAATATTTCATCTTAGAAAGTTCGATACGTTGGCTATAAACTACACAACACACACACACACGCGCGCGCGGGCGCGCTAAATTCGAAATATATATTTGAGAGTTCCGTCGGTCGTGGAGATCATAATTATCAGATAAGAGCAGAGTAAAAAAATAATACAGGTTAAAGTTTTAATTAATGGTTGTCTCGAGACTATCACGTCAGCCATATATTGACGCTGACAATTAGACGATACGTCATTATACGTCATTGGACAGCCAAAAATTAGAAAGTCACGTGTTTACTATGATTGCAGACTGCGATTCGTCGGGATGCGAGGCTGACATGGCGGAGGGCTCAGCAGAGGAGGAACAGAGCAGTACCGCTGCACCCGCATCGCCTCCGGCAGATCTGCGTATCCTCAACACTCAACTATCAACGAGCTACCAACAGCAACAGCAGCTGCAGCAACAACAGCAACAGCAGCAGCAACTGCAGCAGCAACTGCAGCACCAGCATCAGTCGCAGCAGCAGCAATCGTCTCGGCCACCATCGTCGCAGCAGCAGCTTCTCCAGCTGCAGCAACGCCAGCAACATCCAAGCATGCTGGCGACGGCGGTGCCGCCGAGGCACAGCCTGCTGCCACACCACCTTAAGGCCGAGATTAAGTCCGAGGCCGAGATGGACAGCTCCTGCGACGTTCCTTTAAACTTGAAGAGCGAGGTGAGCACTGAGCGTTAGTTATATATCATATGCCGATTCGAGATCTCATTCGCAGGTTTATTTTCGGCTTCAAGCTTTACTTTACTTTCAACACCTGACGCTACTCGATTTTCGCATCGGTCATTTTCTGTGACGACTGCGCCGCCTGCGACCTCGATCGCCGCGCGACTATTTACGTGCGATATTTCTTCACTATTTTATTTTAGAGTAATGATCAGTCCGATACGTACTAATTGTCAGCAATTGTCACTCAAATATTTTAGCTTGGAAGCAGTCGCTAAATCATTAATTATACAGCGCTGTTACCGAATGTTCATGAAATATTTATTTCGGAGCGCTTGTCGAGCTTTCTCATTAATAGTTCACGATACTGATTAAATACTCATTTCGATATCAACGTATAATGTGGCGGCAAATCTTGGGTACCCATTTGCTTTGTATTGATAAGAGGCGAGATATGCATCAGGCAAAATAACTGAAGACGCTTATTGTAATTGAAACATGCAATCGAGATTAAATGATACAGTCAAAGTCAGCACACTCTTTCACGCGGACGGTTATTAAGCCATGCCGGCCAACTACGCTAAATTTCAGTGATAATCGTCCGAATGTAAATTCGTAGTTGCAAATGAATGAGCCGTGAAGGATGTAACAATTAGAATGAGGCCCGCGAGCCACTTGAAATTCCGGTCAGCGTTCGATATTCCCCGAACGGAATATCGGGCCTCATCTGCGAGACTGTTTAACATCTGCTGTCCATCTGAATTGAGTGTGATCAAACGCAATTGTTTACGCGCATCCTGACGTCAGCGTGCGAGAGAAAAGAAATCACCGTTGACTTGGGCCCGCGCTCCGTATATAAACTCGAATATATCCATTGTAGACACTGCGCATGACATCATTCCACATCTAATCAGCGCTTGCCAGCTCATAAATAATAACGAACGAAAATTTACGTCTTATCGTTTGAATTCGATGCGTGCACGTGTGTGCGAGCGTGCGCGAGCGTGCGCGCGTATCTCGAGCTAAAATCGGTCCTCCGCGCGTATACGATTAGCTTACTAAACACAAAGCCAGGCGCGAGAGAGGAGGATGGTGGCAGTGGTAGGAGGGGGTCGACGACCGATAGATTTAGGTTTGAAATGTCTATCCATCTGTGTTGCGCAACGGACTTTTATGTTAGCCTGAGCTAGGAGCATTTAGCTGCTAATAAATTTTTAAGTAGAACGCGTTGTGTCGCGATGGTGATTAATCGCGCCGGCATACGAAACCGATCATCGGCCAGCGATAGACGCTCTTTTTCGGATGATTATTAATGAGGCCGGATATCAGAGGTAAACACAGAGAGCGGGAGATATTGTGCGTTAACACAAGGCTGCGCACCAATCATTATTTCAATGGCTTTAATAAGACTACAGGCGCGCTGCACGCGTGCGCGCGGCAACCGTCATTTGCTGACGCATACATACTAATTATCGTCGCCTAATGATCTATTTTCGGCTCGTGATGGAACTACGCGAGCTGCTGCTGCTGCTGCTGCTGCTGAGCGCTCGCACGCCGCCACTGCCGAAAATACTGCCATGATTTACGCTCCCGCCAACTCACCATTACACGCCTTCATTCTGTTTTGGTTTTTAATGCGACGTTAACTAATTAGCATCCGCTTGTCCACCTTAGCCCCGTGCCGTTCCGTCCGCGAATAAACGACGGCGAAAAAATTCTATGCGGCGTATTTCCGCGAGACAGCGACCGACCGACCGGGGGAGATACGTGTAAATCTTCGGTAAAGATTCCGAAGGGAGCTGACGGCTTCAGCGACCCTCGCGTAAAGACGATTTGTGTGTGCGAGAGAGCGGCAAGCATCGGAACGTGTTTGCGCGCGGATTATAAACCCACCTTCGACTGCTTGCGCATCGGACTTAGACTGACAGATGATTGCGTCTCGCGTCGACGCTGCTCAACAATGCAAACCTCGGCCACTGTGCTCGCAGCCAAAGACAAAGGGACGTTAGCTTGGCTTTTCTGCTTGAAAAACCTGCAAAAGGTCGTTTGTTCTACGTGCTGTTTCGATCGCTTGGATGTTATCTCCTCTGCGTTTTACGGCCTTCAAAACTATACATTCACTACGGAATGCCGATGGAAGTTTATTTTTGATTTTCGTGCAATTTGCGTAATTTTTCGAGCTTCATAAAACCGCTACTTTTACTCGGGCCACGCTAATTTATGATGATCGTAAACAATGTCGAGATAATTATTTTTAGATTTTAATTGCATTTTCTATTCCAAGATCATGAATAAACCTTCTTCTATGTTCAGTTTACGTTGATAAATTTCTAGAATGACGAATAAGGCGACTAAATCTGTCGATCGGCATAGTGACGAAGTTTTTCGAATGACAATTCTGTGGCCAAACGAGGAAGAAGACAAGTACCGTTATCTCGCACTCGACTGCATATATCGTTGTATACGCTTGTGTACCTTGGAATCATCTCGAAGAATCAAGCGATTACCGCGATAAGCGGCCCGGCGCGGAGGAAGAATAATGCCCGAGGGCTCGCGCTGCTTTGTTTCACGGCAAAGTTGCGCGTTCGCCCTGTTTTCCGTCAACTTTCTGCATTCAAATGTCAACTCTGTGCATTCGGTTGATTTCGATAGTGCCCCCCCCCCCCCGCCTCTTTTTTCTATCCGTCCCCTGTCCTTCGGTTTCAATAGCGTACATCTAGAGCGACAAAGAGACGGTAAAGATTGACGCGACTCTAAATTTAGCACGCATACTTATCGCGAAAGCCTGCGCTCGGGCACTTAATTGCCTCATTACTTTCAGAGATTAACCTCTTTCAGCACGCGGCGGATAATAACTAATCGAACCGCGACGACGAAAATGACATTGTAAGCAAGTTGCACCGTGCGTACTTATGTATACAAAATGTTAGCTCTTTGCGCTGCTCATCCGCGTTGTGCTCGTCCGCGTGTCCATCCATTACGCTATTATCCTCTTGGCAAATACGGTATCCATCACCGTGGATTTAACGTAGGTAACGCAGCAGCAGCGCAACATCACGCGAAACTGCTGTGGTGCTACGCGCCGAGCACGAGGGATGATCGTCGGTCCCTGTTGCTACTGCTGCATGTAATTGACGTGGCGAAGAAAAGGACACGAAGTTTAATATTCGCGGCAGCATTGGATGAAGTGTTGTGTGTATGTGTGTGTGTGTCTCTCTCTCTCTCTCTCTCTCTCTCTCGCGCGCTATCTCGCTGGACAAATGAAGGCAATACATCCCCGCAAGAGGAGGCGGGGGATGTACATTTTTAAGCGTCACCCGCGCGTGCTAGCCACTTTCACGAGAGAAATAAATACGTAGATTATCCATCGTTCGACTCTGACGAAACAAAGTAAAAAAAAAAGAGATGATTTTCTCGAAAAATAAACGAGCTGAAAACTTTGCCTGAAAAGAGAGGCTTTGGATGGTTAGGATTGGAAGGCAGCCCGGAGGCAGGCAGCAAGCAGCACAGCCCGCGCGCTTGCATTCCTACTTGATGGGCGGCGTAAGTGCATCTGTCAAGAAGTGATTGAAGGCAAACGATCGGCCAGCCTGCCGGAATCTCATTACCTTGCCCGCTCTCCTTCTTGGTCTTGCGCTCTCTCGCTCTGCGCGCGGCTCGCGCTCATTTCGGAATCACGCTCGATCGGATTTCACAATTGCGATTATTATTGCCTAGGGGCTATCGGGTTGCCCTCGCTCTTGTTCGCTTTTGTTTCGCACTGCGCAGCCGATAATTAGCTGAAACGTGTGCCGATTATAAACACACCGTTTTCTCTTCTTTGTCTAATTACGAAATCGCGAACGCGAACTGTACTCTTTCATTATATCATTTGTTCGCTCTCTCCCTCTTTGCCTGTCTGCAATTTTCACTTGGCTATCGGAGCTATGCGAATGCAATGCCATGCCGCTTTTTTCTCCTCGCAGCGTATGTAAGTACCGCAGCGAGTCCAAACATCAATGGGAGTATTTATCCATTAGATGTAGGGGCGCGCGGGCTGCCGTGAGTTCGCTCGGTTCAATTGAAAATCTGTCAGTTCGGGCGAAAAAGCATCCGACAGTTGAACATCGACGTCGAGCATAACGCGAAAGGAACGCGGCGCGCGCGGCTAGCAAGAAAGAGAGAAAGGGAGGAGGCTGGATGACAACTCATTGCGCTTAGATAACCCCGGCGGCCGCGGGCATTGCGCGCGTACGTGTGTGGTGACGCGCTTGGCGCGTTTTCGCTCCTTTTTGTTTGCCCTTTTGCGCTCGGAAGCGCTGCCCTTATTTTCCTTTTGCCTCGCGCAATTAATCACCCCAGCGGCCTGGCCAGTCTTGCGCTCGGCCGCGACACTGATCTTTTTCTACGTGGCAACAAGCGCCGATTCGTAGTGGCATGCAGTTGACCAGTAAAAAAAGAACAGCTGATGCAGTTGTCAGTGAAGTTTAATGAGGACAAGCCTATACACGGCCGGTCAATTTCACGAATAATTCTGTTGTTTGTGAAACATGCTACGTGTGCGAGTGTCCGTGCGGCTACTGGATTAAGTTTGACCGTGACGTTGTTGCATTAGCCAGCAACGTCGTCGTCGTTGGTGGGCGACGTGTCCTTTTAAAGTGGTAAACTTGTGCTGCTCGAAATACGTGTCCGGCTCCAGCACCAGCAGCAGTAGCGAGAGAGAGAGTGAGTGAGTGAGAGAGGGAGCTTGAAGGATAGCCAGAGAAACTCCCCAGTGTGGTGCCAAATAACAATGTTGAATCTCATAAACAAGGAGACAAGACAAATACCCGCTGGACAGAGTCCGTTCCGGGGGCGACCGACCAACCCTCTCTCTCTCTCTCTCTCTCTCTCTCTCTCTCTTTCTCTTTGCCAGCTCTTCTTCTCCGACGTCCATACCACCACCACTGTCCAGTACTACCCCCTTGCTCCGGGATCCTGCTGCTGTTGGTAATTTCACGGTGTCTTGCATCCCTGAG